AATAAACATCCACGTGCAAGCTGCTCGCCTATGCTCAGCCTCGCGAACTCATACCTTCTAATCAGAAAAACACAGAACTCCAAAACTCCTATTATTCAAAGATAAAACTAAAAGCGTAAAGAAAAGTATCTAAAAAGGCGATAAATCACTTGGGTTGCCTCCCAAGAAGCGCTTGTTTAACGTCATTAGCTTGACGAAACCTGAACCGAAATTAACCGGGGTCCAAGAAAAAGTGTCGATCATGCCACGCCTTCGTATTCTCCAACAGTAGTCCCGTTGGTAGAAAGGAATAGAGGCGAGCAAAGTAGACTCTCGTGGTCGTATTCTTGTGAAACCGAGCACGGATATCAACACCCATCAAGAGAAAAGATATTTCTTTACGTACGAAGGCCCCATATTCGACCTTCGGAATTATGACATGTCTGTGGAGCATGTCGAATCCATCCCGGTCATCACCAATGCCATCTCGGATGTGTGCTCAATAATTTTGAGAGTCGAAAGCATGTGCATGTATGCACTAAACTTCTCCAAATGTTCACCATCCTCGATAACACAAAATGACCACCCAAAGGACATGGGAATCACTTCGTAATCAACATCATGAGTCGGGTTATTCATCAATGCACACTTTGGGTCAATGGCCTCACATAATGACTCGGCATCCTCCTCAACCTCATCCTTGACACCATGAACTACCTCCTCCTCACAATCATCATCCTGAGCTCTTTCAACACCACTCGGCACAAGCGAATCCTCAAGTGAATTATCCCCCATACCATGCACGATATCGACTTCTGAGTCCATACACTCGCTCTCATCAATAGCAATCGAACTCAACGCACAATCACCAGAAGGTAGGGTTGACGTATCTAACACGGATTGGAATCCCGTATCGTCATAAGAAGGGATTCTTCTAACATATAAATCATTGATGTCCACACTCGCGTCGAGAGATTGTGTTCCATCATAAACGAGAGTGAGGCCCATCTCTTTGAAAGAAGCAAACTTATCCACCATATATCGAAATTCGCCCTCTAACCGTGCGCTTTCTCGACAAACATTTGCCGATAGATACTCATATCTACCAAGCGGAATATGAGATGTGTCCAAGTCGAGGAAATCATTAACGGTTGAGTCGAACTTCGTGAGTTTGGCTTGAAGATCAGATGGAATGGGGATGATCTTCCAATTATGAAACTCATCTATGATCGATAGGAGACTCGCAAGTATCGAATCTACAAATTTGTTGTAGCAAATTATTTTTATTTTTACCGAGTACCGAATCAAAAGATTC